AAGAGAATGAAGGTTGCCTTTTGGGGATGGAGCCTGCTGTGAACATACAGGGTGCCCCGATGGATGAGGCCAGCGGTTCATCCAGTCCACATCCTGCTTCCAACCAGGTTCCCTGAAGGAGTGACAATCTGGGCACAAGGGCCATAGTACCTCTTAGCCCTGGTAGTCAAAGTGGAGATGTGGTGGTTTGGATGGAGAGGTGGGCAGAATGACAGGCTAGTGATTTCCAGGAAATTGTGAAAAAGATGAAGAGTAGATGCATTGATAAACCAACCCATAGAATGGGGTGCCCAGCCATTTCTCCTGCACTGATTGGCTGGCAGGGGGTTCGCTCTTCCACACCACCGCCTGGCCCGATCAAGATATTCACAGAAAAGGGCTTGAAAGAAACCTGCAGCCTCTCCTGTCAACCCTTTGCGTTTCCTCAAAGGAGGCCAGCATCGTATTTGTGAGAACTGTCACACTGGGAGTATCTTCAACTTCCTTCACTTCTGCTGCCATTCTGTCTTCTCTGCTTCGGGGCGTGTTTTGAAACCTTGAGTCTCAAAAGATATTTACCAATGTGGTATTGGGTGGCTCTGGAGAGTATCCTTGCTGCCGCTAGGTCTAGCTATAGTCAGTGCCTGGAGGAGAAACCTCCCGGGAATCCAGCCTTGAGTTCTGTGGTGCAGGAATGATGGGCTAAAAGTGCAGTAAATGCAAAAAGATAATTCCACTGCACCTTCTGCTCTCTCTAGCCAAAAGAGTGCCAAGTTTAATTTCTCTCTTCACTTGCTTTGCACCGCTTCCTGCCTCCTGCTTTTGTGGAACGCTCTTAACGGTCAGCAGAGGGACTGCAGGATCAGGTTCCTCTTTTCACACCTCGCATGGCAGGGCAGATCTCAGGCAGCCACTTTTTGGTTCAAAACAGAGAAAACCAACTTCTGGGGTCCCTCCCAGTATGTTTTCACACCCGAGGCTATGATACGTTTTTGCGTTTGACTAAAACCTGTTGGCTAGAATTTGCACTCGGTTTTAAGAAAGGGGGCCTTCTTCTGTTTTCTGTCAGTTGGCATTAACAACATTTGTTCACACACACGAATAGCGCAAGGAGAGGTTCAAAGACTTTCTAAATGTCATGTATGAGAACACTTTGATCAAGCCTCTTGGCGCCCTGGAAAGTCTGGGATGAGATTTTACTCCCTGCCAGGAGTATTAAAGGGGGGGGGGGGCAGCAATCAGGCTGCTGTGTGTTTAAAGCATTTTCCCCACTTCTGGGGGTGACGACTACGGCAAATACAGATTGCCACAATAGCTACAGTAAGTTGCCAAGTCACAAACCTCCAGGTACTTAGAAACCTCTGTGGGTGAACTGTGGAACTAGGAGAGAACCAGAGATGGTTTTGGCTCATTAAGGGCAGCAACGCGCCTTCAGCCAAAGAAAGAGCAAATGCGAGAGGGAGAGCAAGCAAGCGAATGAGCTGTAATGAGCTACACATGTTTAGCTCTGTGGCTGGCATTACCAGCTTCACAGATGCTGCTTTCGGATACACTGTCCACAGTCTCCGCATCATTCAGACTTGGTTCAAAGCTGACTGTTGTCCAAGGAAGCAGCCGTGTGTTGCTTACTGCGTTGTGCCTTATGGTCTTTGAGGAGCTTTGTCACCCAGTTTAATATATTTAAACCATTTACACCCCACACTCATAAGAGCAGAGCAGTTGAAGCAACTTCCAATTAACAGTGACTTTTTAAAAAGATGGAGCAGCCAAAATGACATTTAAAATTCCATTAAAAAGAGCTCAGCGGTAGAACCAAGATCCAATAGAACAGGCACTTACACACACACAGACTCACTAGGAGTCGTCCCTTTAAAATAGACTTAAACAGGACAGACGAGAGAAGGGGACAGAGAATCTCAACCGTGCCCCTCCCCCTCAAACAATCAGATCAACTCCAATTGCTCTGGGAGGCAGTTCCCCAGTTAAGGTGCCACAGCAAAGAAGGACCTGTCTCGGCTGTTCATCTACCTTTCTTCAAAAGGCGAAGGCACTGCGTGTCTTAATATATCGGAAGGTCTGCGTGAAAGGAGGAGATTCTTTCAGCCATGACCCTCTGCTTTTGCATCTGTAGCCCATTTTGTTTAGTGGCAGCTAGAGTTAAAAGACGTGGGGGTGTCCAAAGGATTCTGTGCCAGTTTGTTAACTGGGTAATAATGAAGCTGCTGATACTCATCGTGTGCACATGGGACTCCAGCTATGCTGTGAACACATGAAGCTGCCTTATACCAAGTGATGCTATTGGTCCATCTAGCTCAGTATTTTCTTCTCTGGCTGGCAGCGATTCTCCGGGGGCTCCGGTAGAGGGAGAGATTGCCCAGCACCTGCTACCTGAGGGTTTTTCCAACTGGGAATGCTAGGGATTTAATCCCGGGACCTTCTGCATGCAAAGCATGCCTTCTGTCACTGAGTTGCAGCCCTTCTCCTAAACAACTGTAACGTGTATTACTGCACATAGTTTTACAAAATACCCGTTATGAAATGTGGGGTTTTGGTTGGGGAAACGCCATGTTCAGAAAGTCAGAGCAAATGTACTCTAATTCAGTAAAAGAGAACATAAATTCGCTACTGAAGGTCGTTCTGAACATCACCTATTTACAGTAACGCAAGAGAGAAATTTGGTCAGTTAAGAGTTGTGCAGAAACTCGTGTTGAGAATGTGGTTTATTCCTTCGGATCTTCCTATAGTGAGTTTGGCTAAGTTGTTCATTTTCTAGTCTAAAAGGAGGGAGGCCCATAGCTCAGCAGTAGAGTGAGTGCGTGCTTTTGCAGGAGGTCCCAAGTTCAATCTCTGACATCTCTTGTTTTTTTTTTTTTTTTTAAAAAAGACTTTTTTTGCTGGCCATAATACCAGGCTAAGTGGAACAGATATTTGGTTCAGCTTCATCTGTTCATACATACTTGTGGATGGTGAAGCCTTGGCAGGGGTCATTTCGTAGAAAAAGAGGTGCAGGAGCTCATTAGCATAATTCATTAGTATACCTTATTTGCATATGCCACACCCCCTGACATCACCAGAAGTGTATCAAAAGGCAACACCCACTGCTCAGGCTCCACTGGACTGTTTTGGATTGCTAGCTACTGGGGGAGGGTGTGCAGATCTGACCTCACAGAGGAGGGAGAGCTTGTATCTGAATAAAACTTGGTCTTAAAGGTGCCACTGGATTGTTTTGGGCCGGGGGGGCGGGGTGTGTGTCTGCAGCTTACCTAACTGCTTGCTCCTTGTGGCCTGGGGCTGCTGGGAGCAGGGGGTGGGGCTTGTTGCATGTGCCCGCCCCCTGGGCTCTTTACTTCCGGAGCTCCACTCCTGTGCGCTCCTGCAGGAAATGACCCCTGAGCCTTGGTAAAAATAATCCATCTGTCTAGTTCTCTCTTTTTTTTTAACCCACCCTACCTCCAAGGAGCTCTGGGTAGTATACATCACAGAGCCAGCGGTGGTGTAGTGTTAAGACTGGCGGACTCTAATCTAGAGAACCTGGTTTGATTCCCCACTCCTCCTCTACATGCAGCCAGCTGGGTGACACTTGGGTCAGTCACAGTTCTCCCAGAGCTCTCTCAGCCCCACCTGCCTCACAGGGTGTCTGTTGTGGGGAGAGGAAGGGAAGGCGATTGTAAGCCACTCCGAGACTCCTTTGAGTAGTGAAGGGCGGGGAATAAAACCAACTCCTCTCCTCCTCCTCCTCCCCTTCCTCCTCACAGGCCTGTGAGGTCGTCTGCTCACTCTCGTTACTGCACTGCACATCTGTGTCCCGGTCGTGGGAGATGGCATAAATACCCCGCTCCATTTTGTTCATTTATTTTATTTTATACCCTGTGCCCTCTCCCCACAAGAAACCTGGGGTGGCTTGCAACATTTAAAAATACAGTAAATACAGATACAGTACAAGTATGAATAAATGCAGTAAGTATAGAACAATAAAAGCAGTTAAAACCTCCAGTTAACAACAAGCCACTCTGAAGAAGGAAAATAACTGGCCAGGTCCCCAGTTCATAACATTGATTTTATCCTAACAACCACCGTGCGGTGTAGAAAAGGCAGAGAGATAGCAACCAGCTCAAAGGCGCCCGAGTGAGCTTCATGGACTGGAGATTTGAACCCCCCAGGCTCCCAGGCTGAGTCTAACATGCTAACCACATAGAACACCAACACTCATTTTACAATCCAAATCCGATTGCAGTGTCGGCTGGATGTCCTGTCCTGTGGATGGTGGCAACTCATTCTGTGCGATTCACCAGGAGTCCCAGTGAGAAAGGCGGACTATGAATAACGTAATTAAATAAATAACGTGTGGCTGTTCCTTCTTGACCCCTCTGTCCCCAGGGCACGTTCATGGAGTGTCAGCCCGAGAGCAGCATCTCCCACCGGTTCCACAAGGACTGTGCCTCCCAGGTCAAAGGCATGAGCTACTGTCCACACTGTGGGGAGGAGGCCTCCAAGGCCAAAGAAGTGACAGTCGCCAAGGCAGACACTACCTCCACCCTTTCACTGACCTACGAGCAGAAGAAACCAGGGACTTCGGAGGGAAGGGCGGACACAACGACAGGGAGGTGGGTCCCTCTTCGGTGATACCCTAAGTGGGAATTTGCCTGTGTTTTGTGCATTTGAGAAGTCGCAGTGAGTGAATCGTCTTTCTGCTGAGAAGAACCAAAGGGATGGAGTGGGATTCCAGGGGGGATGATCCTACCTTCCTAGAGGAAGTTTCTTAAGGGCAGTTAATGGGAATTTCGGTCCTTCCTGGAGACAGTCCCTGTTGGAGTAGCACTGCACCATTTGGCCAGACTTGCCTATTGCTCATAGGCAACGTTCCCTCTAAGCTGTGGAGTCTTGTGAGCAAAAAATCTACTTTGTGAGCTACTGGCATTAAAGTTGTGAGTGAGCAATTTGGCTCCTGAGCTGAGCCAAAGATGTGTGAGGTGGAGGCTAAAAAACTGTGAGCTAGCTCACACTAACTCAGCTTAGAGGGAACACTGCTCATAAGAGTCCTGGCTGTGAAAAGAGAGACCGCAACAACTGGCCGTATTTCACAGAAGCAAACTGCGGGGTTGGTAGGAACTTCTATATTTTGTGGTTGGGAACACTAGGCAGCTGGTTTTATTTTTCACTGGACTGTATGACTACAAACTGCAGTATAAGGGGAGTAGGTGCTTGAACATTTCCCTCACTTTTTTTGAAGCACCCTTCAGCCGAAACCTAGCAGGTCGGGGAGAAGGCTGATCCTTGAACACCTCTCCCTGGGATCCTAACTTTACACTTTCAGGAAGTAGATGAAACTGAGGTCGGGGGAGCACCCAGTTTTCTCCCATCTGCATCCAGGGAGGATTGCACTATGAGTTTCAGTTTCAGTTGGCTTTACAGCACAACTCATGCTTGCAAGGGGTAAAGCTTTGGATGGAAGTTCACAACACTGTCCTTCACATTGCTGGAGAGTCATGCAAGCCAGTGCCGTTTTAAAAGCTACCTCTTTTCTTTGCTTAATGCAAAATCTGTGTGTGGCATTGACTGTTCATGGTGGTTGTGTTTTCTCTCCCCCCCCCCCCCCTTTATTTCTTGTTTGGCTATAGTGGCACTCAACCCCTTGAGGAAGGCCAGCCAGAGAGTTTGCCTGCAGAGGGGTTTGATTTGGCTGGAACCTCTGCCTTTCCCAAGCCAGCCCCACCTGGAATGCCCCAGGGACCCGTTAAAGAAACCCTCGAAAGCGCCTTGATTGCCCTGGACTCCGAGAAGTAAGAACGGGACTGGTTGTCGGAATGTATTCAAATGTCCGTGGAGCCTCCCACTCACTGTGTGATCTTGGGCTTTCATTCAGGCTTCAGATCAATGTGGCACATTTGGATTCGTTTCACTAATTTTTACCTCCCAGTCCTTCATTAGCAGTTCTGCTGCTAAACTAGGCTGCAGTCTCAAGGTGTTGTGAGGAGAATGTCCTGATGAAGCATTCAGGACTTCACACTAGATGGCTTTCCTCATAACCATTGGGAAATCTATCCTAACTCTACTGAACTGACTATCATGTTGTCCCAAACGCGAGTGAAACTCCATCTGTGTGTCTATGAACTTATTTCTGTTTTCCTCCTGTCCTTCCTCCAAGAAACTCTGAGCAGTGTATGCTTTTCTTCTTCTCTTCCCACCTCTTCCATTTTATCCTCACAATGATCTTGTGAGGTGGGCAAAGCTGAGGGGGAGTGACAGGCCCAGGGCTACCCAAGGTTCCGCCCAACACTGACCACTACACAAGATTGATAGTGACGTTACTGATACTCTCACATCAGCTGCCTTATTCTGAGTCAAACCATTGGTCCGTCAAGCTTCATTGCTGCTTACTAACGTGCAGGGACTTTCCCTGCCTGAGAAAACCTTTTCCCCAAAGCTTGCTAACTGGGATGCTTTACCTGGAGATGGCAGCAGTTGAACATTTAGCATGCTGAGCAGGTGCTCTGTCACTGAGGGATGGGCCATCACTCCATTAGGAAGAAGGTGCCTGTATTGACTCAGACCATTAGTCCATCGAGCTCAGCATAGTTTGCTTAATTGCTACCGGCCCACCAGAGTCTCAGACAGAAGAATGCCTTTCCCGTCACCTGTCGCGTGACATTCTTTAAATAGTGGTGCTGGGGACGGAATCTCATGTGACACTTGTGCTCCACCCACAGAGGAACTGCACCTCCCTCGTTCATTTCTGTAGCAAGGAGCCATGACCATTTTTTCCCCTGTTGTGGAAAAGATTTTATAAAGACAGAGGGAGACGGTGTTACAAATGAGATTATTTTCATAAGTCAGATAGTTCCTTGGAGTCTCTGCACCCAAATCAGATTATGGCACCATTCGTTCTGGCATTCAGCATTTTAGTTGTTGTTGGGGTTTTTTTGTGGTTCTGGGTTGTTGGCAAACTTAGTGATTCAAGGGAAACCAGAGCAAGTCAGGTATGCAGATAAAGGAGTGTGCCTTGATGTGCAATTAATAACGAGGGGAGGGGAGGGGAGGGCATTAAGGACTTTCCTACCCTTCTGGTTGCTAATAGCCTCTGTGCTCTTCGACAGGCCCAAGAAATTACGGTTTCATCCAAAGCAGTTGTATTTCTCTGCACGGCAAGGGGAGCTGCAGAAGGTCCTCCTTATGTTGGGTAAGTGGCTTCCTCCTCCTATGTCAGAGGAGAGGTCTCTGCCACGCAGTTCTAGGATTTAGCCTTGATTTTAGCGCTCGGCATTACAGCACTGGAATGGTCCTTCCTCCAAGAGACTCTGAGCAGTGTACGCTTTGCTTCTTCTCTCCCCACCTCTTCCATTTTATCCTCTCCACGTGCTCTCCACAGAGTGACTGAGCCAAGAGGGCTCACAGAAATGAGCGTTAATCAAGCTCAACCTTAATTGAAACTCCCAAGTATTCAAATGAGAGCCTGAGTTAACAAAGGGCTGGAAGGGACCAAGCTTGTGACTTCCTCCCAGGGCCAGGGAAGTGGGGATGTTTTCTGCTAAATTAATTTGTTGATAATCTTTCCTAACTTCTGGTAAGAATTTGAGATGTTGTTCTTGGTTTTAGGATTCTTGTTTCTCAGTTTTATCTACTGGTATTTTAGTTGCTCTTGGGGTTTTCTGGGTTTGTTTTTTTTAATCTCCACTCTTTGTGTGCTGTTAGTTTATTCTTTTCAGTGCTTAGCTTTCTTTCATAGTTTGCCTAAATGGCTCTTGATTTGTGTGTATGTGTGAATTATTGTACACTGCCTTGGGCAATTCATGTGGAGAGGCAGGTTATAAATATTTTACATAATAAACGTCCTATTCACCACCAGCCTGAATTAGGACTTGTTAAGAAGTTTGTTTTCTCAGCTGAATCCTCCTAGTGACTTCATATGGAGGGTGGAAGGACGGGTGTGTGTCAAGAGGTCCCGGTTTTTTGTGGACAAATCCCATGTTTGCAAACGACCTATTGCTAGTAGATAGTATTTTCTCCCCCACTCCTCTGAGTAATTTTCAGCTGTTCTGTTTTAGCAGTATTTCTGGTTCGTCCTAGCACCTGCCCTCTGTGAGGCTCATGGCTCAGGTCTCAAACTAGTACCAGTCAGAAGAGTGCAAGCCCTGAGTAAGGGTGTGTGTGTGTGTGTGTGTGTGTGTGTGTGTGTGTGTGAGAGAGAGAGAGAGAGAGAGAGAGAGAGAGAGAGAGAGAGAGAGAGAGAGCGCACACACATGCACAGTGACAGGTTCTCATCTGCACAGCACATCAGGGCAGATCTCTGGCTCTCTGCTCTTCCCATGTTGCATTATAGAAAGCTCGGTATCTCTCCTCCCTCCCACCCCCTTTCATTCTTTCCTTTTGTACTGTCTTCCTCTCAGTGTATGAATGAGGGAAAACCTGTATTTTGGGGGAAATATGCCCTCTGACTGTATTTCTATGTAGAAATAATCTTACTGTATTGAATAATAAAGTGGGTGGTCTGTTCTAATCACGAAAGCAGCAAACACGGGCCGCCCATATGTTCCCTCTAAGCTGTGGAGTCTTGTGAGCAAAAATTCTACTTTGTGAGCTACGGGCATGAAAGTTGTGAGCCAGCGATTTGGCTACTGCATAAATTAGTTTGCTCTGGAGCCATCCTTCCTGAGCGGAGACAAAAATGTGTGAGCTGGAGGCTAAAAAACCGTGAGCTAGCTCACACTAACTCAGCTTAGAGGGAACACTGGAAGAGACGTACTTCTGCATATTTGGGGAGACTCCACAGATATGCAGAAAAATATGATTTTTTATAGTTTAAGTGACTGGGAGGGAAAAAAATAGAGAATGTCTTATGAGGACTGAGCATGGTTCTTGAGGCAGAGAATGTTGAGGACAGTTGAACTGGTTAAAGAGGAAAAGAACATGGATGGGGATGGAGATAAGGACCTGCTCAAGCCCATGAGGGCCTCCAGAATTCCGGAGATTTGGGTACAGACATTCGGATACAAATACTGAGGCTGGCCTCCCTTTGCAGTTCCTCATAAGCTTCTAGCTTTGTCCACTCTCATAGCAAACTTCATAATAATGTGCCAATCATGAAGGCAGTGTTAGGGGCCCACCCACAGGCAAGGTTTTTGGGTGCTTTGGGAGACTCCCTTAGTATGCAAAAAAAAAAAAGAGTTTGTAGTTTGTTTTTGAAAGAGGCCCCCCTTCCTCATCCACAAAGGCAGCGTGATGAGGACTGAACATGTTGATTGACATTGGAGAGCTAAGAGGAGCTGTGCTTCAATTAAAGACAAAAGCAGACTGAGATGGAGAAATTAACCTCTTCAAGCTCTTAGCAGCTTATGGTGTCTTGTAGGAGGAGATTTTTTTGAGGGGGGGGGGATTTTCCATTTGCACCGATACATACTACAATTCCTTGCATTCCCGCAGCTTGTATGAGCCTGTTTGATCTCCTGTTATACAATGGAATCTCTGTCTCAAGACGCATTCTGTTGTTCTTCTTGAGCTAACGCACGTCAAGGAGGTAGATCCAATCTTTAGGTCTCTCCTCCCCCTCTTCTCTCCCAGTTTCATATGGTATGCTTATGTGTGTGGTGGCCTCCTGCACAGTCAGATCTTCTTGACTTCCAACTGGATTTGCTTTGTATTTTTACTCCCATGTTTGTGTTTTTCAGTGGATGGGATTGACCCTAACTTCAAAATGGAGCACCAGCATAAGAGGACTCCTCTTCATGCAGCAGCAGAGTCTGGGCACGTGGACATTTGCCACATGCTGATCCAGGTTTATCTCAGTTGTTGTTGTTGTTCAGAATAATGGGGTGGGGGGTATCTTGGCACCTTCTGCCAACTGCATCTTAAGAGCCTGTACTCTGTCCAGCCAACCAGAAATCGTTGCTTCCCCCCCCCCCCACTTTCATTAAAAGTATGCATGATAAGATCATAGTCGCTAAGAGTTGGGATCTGAAATATGTGGCAGGGTAGGAGCTTTCATGAGTCACTGCTCACTTCTTCAGACACAGATAGAATGGGAGTCCATCTGTCCTATTTACTCCACTTTCCAATAAATAGGACAGATGGACTCCCATTCTGTCTGTGTCTGAAGAAGTGAGCAGTGACTCATGAAAGCTCCTACCCTGCCACATATTTTGTTAGTCTTTAAGGGGCTACTGGACTCTTGCTTTTTTCTGCTGCTACAGACAGACTAACACGGCTACCCATCTTGGGTAACCACTCACCTTACCTCTGAAGGTAGGGGTGCAGAAAAGCAGGGTCAGCTGTCAGGGAGGTTTGTATGGGAGGAGGGAACCCTTTAACTACCCTGATCCCAGACCACTTAGGAGTTAAAGGTAAGAAATAATACTTTGAATTGTGCTGGAAATGAGTTGCCAGTTCAGTACTGGCAAGAATTACATTCCTGGCAAATCCTCTGTTGAGCCTCCCTATTAGTGTGCAGATTCCCATGGTCCTTATGCTTGTGAGAATAGGATGCTGTAATTTCCTTCATTGCTCAGGATGAATGAGCAAGTACACAAGTCATAAAGCCCCTCAGGATGTGTCTCTGCAGTAAACAGACAGTGAGTGTTGGCATTCTGCTTTGTGTGCGTCTTGACACAGGCTGGCGCTAATATAGACAACTGCTCCGAGGACCAGAGAACCCCACTTATGGAAGCATCAGAGAACAATCATCTAGAGGCTGTGAAATACCTCATCAAGGCTGGAGCACTTGTAGACCCCAAGGTACAGGTGGCTTCTTGATTTCATGTCTTTGATTTTCTCTGTCTCCAGTAGGCTGCGGTTGACGTCTTACAAGATTCCCAAGGAGACTGAATCACGAAAGAGCAGCTGAGGGTGTTTTCATTTTCTTTGTTTTTTGGCAGTACTTTTCTTTTGAAGCTCAGAAGCCACTCGGATATATGCTACCAAACTTCGTACCCATACTAGCTGTGTGCTAGTTTCTCTCCCTTTGCTTAGCGTAATGTACATGTGAAGTTGCCCTTTGCAGAGTCAGCTCAGTGGTCCATCTAGCTCAGTGTTGCCTTCTTCTAACTGTGACAGCAGCTCTTCATGGTCTCAGGCAGAGAAAGGTCTTCTCTAACACCTTCTGTCTGAGATTCTTTAACTGGAGATGGGAAGGGTTGAACCTGGGACCTTCTGCATGTAAAGCAAATGCTCTTCTACCACCCTTCTTCAATGCAGTAATTTCATTCATTCATTCATTCAGCTTCCAGCCCTCCCTCCCCCACAAGCAGGCTCAGGGCGGGTTACAACAAAGCAATAAATACATAATGTAATAGATCCAGGTAGTCAGCCGTGTTGGTCTGAAGCAGCAGAACGAATTTAGAGTCCAGTGGTCCCTTTAAGACCCTTTATTCAAGATACGAGCTTTCGTGTGCTTGAATGAACTTTAGTTGGTCTTAAAGGTGCCACTGGACTCTAAATTTGTTCTACAGTTATTAAAACCAAAGATAAATAGAATCCATTAATAACAGACAATAACAGTCAATGGCACCATTCAATCACTCTATCCCCATCAGCTCCCACCTAAATTCCCCAAGTGTTGCAGGTGGGTGGTAGTTGATGTTGGGAAAACAGGCAGACGAGATAATACAAGTTGATGTTGGGAAAACAGGCAGACGAGATAATACAAGTTGATAACACGCACAGCAGTATAGGGGGAGGCCAATATAGATGGCGCTCCACCACCTCAACTGTGGGCCTGGCACAACACTGCTAAGCGAACATGAACGTATGTGGTCATTTATGTAGTACAGGGGTCGCCAACCTTTTTGAGCCGGCGGTGAAATTTGGAATTCTGACACGGCGCGGTGGGGGCAGCAACAAATTGGCTGCTGCAGGAGGCCGAGCCAGTCACAAAACGATTGCCACAGTTTTACTTCAGTAACACATTGTAGATACTTGGGCTGTGGTGGCAGCCTCTGCCAAAGCGACCTTTTAAAAAATCTGCATGGCCAATCCAATCTCCAGTAGTCAATCAGACACGGTACTGGACGAAAGCCCTGCCTGGTCCCGCCCACTTCCTAAAAACACTTGGCAGGGGCCAGGAAAGATGTCAGCGGAGTGCTATGGCGCCACAGGCACCCCTGATCTATTATGTATCCCAGCCTTCCTCCAAGGAGCACACAGCCAAGTGGCCCAAGGTCACCCTGTGTGTCTCAGGGCAGAGGGAAGATGAGGTTTCCTGGGCCCTAGTCCACTGCTCTGACCACTACGCTGCAGCAGCTCTTTTAAGGTGACTCCCACCAAAGCAAACCCTTGGTATGCCTCGCTCAGTAGCTCTTTAGGATCTGAGGCAGAGAAAGGCCTTTCCCTGCACTTGCCCCTGGAGATGGCACAGATGGAACTTAAGATATTCTGCGTGCAAAACGTGTGCTGTTCCACTGAGCCACAGCCCCCTCCCTGAAACAGGTGGGAATGGGAAGTGTGGTGATGCAACAGCATGGTTTGGCATGGGGGGATTCCGCCTCCATGCAAGATGCCCACGCAGATCCCGTTCAGGTCCTGTCCCATCTCAGGATTGTGCACATTAGTGCATGTAAAGCATCCTGAGGCCTTGTTGCGTACTAAGGGCAGAGGCCTTTCTGTTCCAAGAGCACTTCCCAGATGGCAACGTCAAAATTAGACCGTGTGGGAGAATACCTTTCAGTGTGGTGCCTGCCAGCCAATAATCAGACGGAGAGTGATGGAAGTCTGATGTTCAGACACACACACACCCCTCCCCAAACCAGGCAATGTTCAGAGGTGGCCTTCAAATGCAGAAGCGCAAAGGCAATTTTCCAGCTGACTAGGACAAGTTCAGGAGCAGGGACTGGGTGAGATGGGCTGAAGCAGGAGGTACATTGATTGCTCATTAGTAGGATAAATCGGAAAGCGTGCAAAGTGCAGGCGTTTCAATTGCTTCGTTTGCCTTGCAGAGCAGCATAGCGACACGTGAATAGCTGTCGACTGGGGAGCTGGGCTGTCCCTGAAAAGCTACCCTGCCAGCAACCACTGGCGGCCAAAAACAGTCTGCCAGAGGACTGAATCTGTATGGGTGGAGAGAGCCCCCTTTGGGAAGCAAATGGGTCTGGGCATAGTGCTGAAGTGGCTCACTTGAGAGTACTGAGGACCACCCCCCAGAACAGTTGTTTGCCTTTTGGGGGGGGGGGGGGGGCGAGGTCAGGCCTTTTTGTTTGATGGATTGTTTGTTTGTTTTTGTTTTGTCAACAGGGACTAAGGCCAAATATTCAGCCTATCAGATTATTATTGCTGCATAATAAAAACCTGAAATGTAGGCTGATTTATTCCTGGTAATTACTTTTTCTGTAGAACGTAAATCATCGTCGAAGGGTAGCAGCATGCTGGTAATAAAAGCCGAAGAAGGCGGATCGTGTGGTCTTTATTTGTTACAAACCTAAGGTCAAAGCCAAGGGTGGAGATGATGGGAGTCTGGAAATACCCAGTTGCCCATGAGAGCAGCAGGGCAGATCCAGCCAGTAGAAGTGAACCCCCTGGGTTTAACCTGCCAAGAGAATGGAGGATTTGCATGGAAGTCTGAGAGGGCTGAGGTTGCCCTTCCAATCTTTCCTCTCACACAACGTCTGGTGCATTTTTGCAAAAAGGTGATATTGTATTTTTCCAGCCAGTAAATCCACCTTCTGGCCTTCTGTCATATGCTTTACTTTGGGTCTGCACCATTTCTGACCTCCCAAACTGAGCTTAGCCTTGTATTTCATTTATGTATTCACTGAAATCATTTAAAATCCTTCCCTTTCATCCTCAGTATGGGCCTTCAAGTGGGGGAGAGGTTACAGCAAATCAAAACAACAGTCTGGGGATGGAAATAAAAGCAAAGCCATCAGCTAGCAAGCAGTCCTTCATCTTCCTCTTAAAAATAACAATAAAAACAGTCATCAGTTAAAATCAGCTTCAGTTAAAATCAACATCATTAAAAAGCTTTTAAAAACCCACAACCAATGTTCCCTCTAAGCTGTGGGGGTCTTGTGAGCAAAAATTCTACTTTGTGAGCTACTGGCATTAAAGTTGTGAGCAAGCGATTTTGGCTACTGCATAAATTAGTTTGCTCTGGAGCCATCCTTCCCGAGCTAAGTCGAAAATGTGTCGAGCCGGAGACTAAAAAACTGTGAGCTAGCTCACACTAACTCAGCTTAGAGGGAACATTGCCCACAGCCCAACCATTAAGCAGCAGCAGAACCAGCAAAGGCCTTCGTGAAAAGTACCATCATGCGCATATGGAAGCATGTTCCAGTAAGGATGGAGTGGGGCGAATTTCCTTTGAGGGGAGGAGTTCCAAAGAAGTGACATGGCTGCCCAGGGTGGGGAGGGGGGTGTCTCTCCACTTCCTCTTTCTTCAGGGATTGCAAAAAACAAGCCTGTCAAACACAAGGCCAACTGCAGTTCACAGGTTATGGGTTGCATTTGTCTTGATGGATGGTGTTTCTAGGTGGGGTCTATGGTGTGCTGTCTGTTTTCCAGCATTGCAGACATTTACAATATAAGCGTAACACAGCACAACTGATCTCTCTGTGTGGACTTTCTCCAGGATGCAGAAGGCTCTACGTGTCTGCATCTGGCAGCCAAGAAGGGGCATTATGATGTGGTGCAGTATCTCCTATCCAACGGGCAGATGGATGTCAACTGCCAGGTAAGCCATTTGGATTCTTAGATTGAAGGCATAGCCCGTTTTGGTTTTATTCCAGGAGACTGATGAATAGTGTGCTGTGTGGCACAGCAGAGGAGATGTATGCTCCTTATCCACAAGACAGCGGAGGAGATAGGAAATCCGATGAGTTGCGGTGGTTACAGTGCTGGGGTTGGATTGAGGAGCCTGTGGGCTCAGATACCCACTTCAGAGAAGTTGCAATCTTTTGAACGGACACAACTCACAGGGTGGTTATGAAGACTAAAGGAAAATAAGCATATAGGAGCACCTTGGTGCAATGCTCCCTCTAAGCTGTGGGGTCTTGTGAGCAAAAATTCTGCTTTGTGAGCTACTGGCATTAAAGTTGTGAGTGAGCGATTTGGCTACTTGCATCAATTAGTTTGCTCTGGACCCATCCTTCCTGAGCGAAGACAAAAAAATGTGTGAGCCGGAGGCTAAAAAACTGTGAGCTAGCTCACACTAACTCAGCTTAGAGGGGACACTGCCTTGGAGCAAGTGTAGCATAAAAATCCAGTAAACGGACCCTGGGTAGGAAAAAGTCGGGTATCTAACGTAACATCAGTCTTTAAAGGGGGGAATCCAGAGGGCAGGAAATTACAGACCTGTTGATTTAGCTTCTGTCTCTCATGATTGCTGGAAAAAATGATTGAAAACCTGTTCATTATACATACATACTAAGCACGACAGACCTTTGGTCTGATCCAGCAGGGCTCTGTCTTATGTTCCCAGGATGACGGAGGCTGGACGCCAATGATCTGGGCGACGGAGTACAAACACGTTGAGCTGGTGAAGCTGCTGCTCGCCGAAGGATCAGATATCAACATCCGTGATAACGTAAGCTGTTGATTCGCTCTGCTGTACTATATTTTGGACTGAGTTGCTGCTCGTGAGCCCTTGGTCTGTTCCGTCAGAAAGATAGCAGGGGGCTCATGATTTCCATGCAGGCTCAAATAATTTCTGGCATCCTGAATTAGAGAATCGCAGGTAGCAGGTGTTGGGAAAGACCTTTCTCTGCCTGAGACCCCTGGAGAGCGTCTGTCATTTAGAACAGACAATAGTGAGCTGTGTGGACCACTAGTCAGATTGAGCAAAAGGCAGCTTTGTAGTAGGAAGGACTCCAGCAGAATGGTAGAGCCACCTGGTTGGCAGGTAGGAGACCTGAATGTTCAGATTAATGCCTGACCTCCAGTTAAAGGTTCTCAGGTAGCTGGACCAGGAGAGATGACTGCTTGGAAAGGTGCTGTCAATGAGTAGGCAGTACCGAGCTGGGGGTAAGGCATCATTCTCATAAATAAAAATGTGTGTGTGGAATAGAGATACTCCACACTGCAGTTTTGCATACAGAATCCAAACATGAGATGCAACTCCCTCTACTGCTAGTGGTCGGTAACCTGGCTGCTGGTGAAGTGGATTGTGGGGCAAAATACATTTCTGGGTCTACTCAGAGCAGCAAGGCCACCCCCACTCCGCTTCAGCTACTTTAAGTAAAACTGCACAAAAACAGGTGCCTTTACTTTCTTGAGACATTATTTTGGCACCCACAAGGTTGCATCTAGGGCACTGGGCAGTCAAAGGCAGCATGGGAATGGTTGTGAACACATCTGTGGTCCCAACACATCAATGCAGAATGAGTCCCTTCTGCCAGGCGGTATTAAGATTCAGATGGAGAAACACAACCTCAAGGAAAAGGCCTTGCATGCTCCAGGGCAGCTGTTGACAGTTTTTGTAGCAGAGGGAATGACGGTGTTCATTCCCAGAAGGACTAAAATTTCGAGAAATTTTGAACTTTTTAAACTTTTAAAATAAAATGCATCATTGGTAACTTAGCATGTTAACATTGTACTTTCTGGCATATTTATGAAAGTTGAAAGTATAAATGCCTTAGTTTTCTACAAACGAACTTGCAAAAACCTGCTCAAGAGGGAGAAAGATTGAGCAGTAAAGTATTACTCTGTGCTGTTTTAGCACACGTATCCTGTTTTTTGGCTATCTGTAAGGTAGGGAAAGTTAAATCCGAAAATACTGAACACAAATGTTGTAGTAAATAAAAGAATGCTTATTGTTTGGATATAAGTCACAACAGGGCCAGCAGCAGATTTGGCTATCCAGTTAAACTTTATAACACTGAAGTATTCTTTAGAGTAAGCTTATAGCATAATAACTGTGAGTAAAACCTTGCCTTAAAAATATTTCATTCCAAAACAGAATATATCATGGCGGGTTTTTTTCAGTGCTCCCCCCAAATTTAAAAAAAATTTCATTTGAAAAAATGTCCTTGGGGGAAGAGGTGCGTGGAAGGAAGCTGTTTTTTCACCAAATCTTTCTCGGCTTTCACCTCTCCAGTCCTAACATCCCTTCTTTTAATCCTGTAGGATTTGCAGTGTGCCTCAATCTGTACAGCAGTAGAGAGATGCACAGATCTCTCTCTCTAGCAGTAATGTAACTGTATGAGACATGGTCCTTGTGACACCTCCCCATGTTCCATCCCCATGTTCCATCCTGTGCTTGGAGTTCTGTGCTCAGAATTTAATTTCCAGTTGCGAGGGGGACTGATTCCGATTAGGACACATGGAGAGAGAGGTCTTAAATTCCCCTCCGCTTGTGCCATTTACCTGACCAGAAATGGACCTGGGGACCTGGGGAGATGCTATTTGCACCAGTGCTACGCAGATATTTTCCCAGTGCAGCAAATAGTGGCTCCCTGGGGCTGATTCAGGTCAGGAAAATGGTGTGTGCATGTATGTACGCATGTGCACGCTTGAGCTCCCAAACTTGAGCGCAATGATCCCAAACCTGGGAATTAAGTTCTGAGCATCAAACTCCCAGACTGTGTTTGGTTTGACAGGCTCTGGGGCAGACGTTGGGGGGGGGGGGCACAAGGACAGCAAGTTGTTGTTAGACTTCCAAGGTTTAGATCCTGTGGGGCTTGGCAGGAGATGCAGAGTGACTGATGGCAGCCTCTGTTCTGGGGGCTTCGCTGCTCCTTCCCTCCACTTCTAAATTCACCCACTGTGAATTCAGCCCTCTGGGACAAGACCTCCGGTGGCTTCCCACTAGGCTAGGCCAGACAGCTCTGCTGCTGCAGCTGCTGCTTCCCCTCTCGCCTCTGGCTCCTCTCTGTGGATTGATCCTGATCGTTGTGTGGCTCGCAAACAAATGACTCATCTGTCCGTATAAGGCGAGGTGGGCAGCCTTTCCTTGCAGCCTCTCCCTGTCTGGTGAGCCTGGCGGTGGCTGTTGCTGGGAGCTTCCCTGCCTACTTGCCTGTCTCAAAACGAGGCTGAGAAATCTAGCGAGGGGAGAAGGCAGCCCACGCCTTAGAAACAGCAGGAACGGAGAGCAGGAGGGACAGGGGAGTCCCCAAGCAGCAGGATTTAAGCACAATAAACGCAGTCCCTCTCTCTCTCTCCCCCCCCCTCCCCTTTCCAGGAGGAGAACATTTGTTTACACTGGGCTGCTTTTTCGGGATGCGTGGACATAGCAGAGATCTTGCTAGCTGCAAAATGCGACTTACACGCAGTGAACATTCACGGAGATTCCCCCTTGCACATTGCGGCCCGAGAGAACCGCTACGAGTGTGTAGTGTAAGTACTGGCGCCAGCCGTTCATCTGCTTTCATCTTTGTCATTTGTAATTTTCATGCTCTTTCGCTGCAGAGCTCAAGGTGGAATACGTGGTTTCTCCCTCACCCCCCCCCCCCCTCTGTAATCCTCTCAACAGCCATGGAGTAAGTAGAGCTAAGAGACTTTGGCTCGCCCTTCAGACTCTGTCCCGGTTCAGACATCAGACCAGACAATGTGAAGGAGCCCAGAAAGACACCTTTGGCTTCCTTGCAAAATTCCTCCCCATGCCCATGTGAGCCAGTGAGTACCTTCTCAGGTTTTCACAAAGGCTGTCTGTACCACTTCTGCAATCCAGGGTTGCACTTGTCTTGCATACCTGCTTTCTTATGAAACTGAACCACGGTGGTTCATTCCCACAATTGCAAACCATAGTTTGCCTGGGATATGCCAAAAACCAGGAAGTAGCATATGGGTGCATGCAGGCACAGTCCACACAGTTTAAGAACATAAAAGAAGCCAGTGTTGGATCTGGCCAGTGGCCCATCCAGTCCAACACTCTGTCACACAAAATACCAGGTGCCATCAGGAGGTCCACCAGTGGGGCCAGGACACTAGAAGCCCTCTCACTGTTGCCCCCCCCCCCAGCACCAAGAATACAGTTCATCCCTTGCCCCAGACTGAGAGTTCCTATCTATACCTTGTGGCTAATAGCCATTGATGGACCTCTGCTCCATATGTTTATCCAGTTCCCTCTTGAAGCCGTCCATGCTTGTAGCTGCCGCCATCTCCTGTGGCAGTGAATTCCATGTGTTAATCACTCTTTGGGTGAAGAAGGACTTCCTTTTACCTGTTCTGACCCAACAGCTTAGCAATTTTAGTGAGTGCCCACGAGTTCTTGCATTGTGAGAAAGGGAGAAAAGTACTTCTTTCTCTACCTGCTCTCTCCCATGCATAATCTTGTAAACTTCGACCATGTTACCCCTCAGCTGTCGTTTCTCCAAGCTAAAGAGCCCCAAGCACTTTCACCTTTCTTCATAGAGAAAGTGTTCCAACTTTTTGATCATTCTAGTTGCCCTTTTCTGCACTTTTTCCGATGCTATAATATCCTTTTTGAGGTGTGATGACCAGAACTGTACACAGTATTCCAAATGAGGTCGCACCATCGATTTATACAGGGGCATTATGATACTGGCTAATTTGTTTTCAGTTCCCTTCCTAATAATCCCCAGCATAGCGTTGGCCTTTCTTATTGCAGTCGCACACTGTCTCGACGTTTTCAGTGAGTTACCTACTGCGACTCCAAGATCTCTCTCTTGGTCAGTCTCTGCCAGTTCAGACCCCATCAACGTGTATTTATAGTTAGGATTTTTGGCTCCAATGTGCATCACTTTGCACCTGGCCACACTGAACCCCATTTGCCACATTGGGGGCACTCACCAGACCATTACAAATCTAGAGGTACAGGTAACACTATACAGGGTTAGTTTAGACAAGTGCTACAGGTGCATTCTTACGACAACACCCACTCACCCTATCTCGACAGATCCCTTTGGAGTGCCTCACAATCCTCACTGGTTCTCACCACCCTGAACAACTTTGTGTCATCTGCAAACTTAGCCACTTCACTGCTTACTCCCAACTCCAAATCATTAATGAACAAGTTAAAAAGCATCGGACCGAGTACTGATCCCTGCGGTACTCCACTGCTTACCTCCCTCCACTGAGAAAATTGCCCATTTATACTCACCCCAGGCTCTCTGACAAACCTTGATGAGAGTGCCTGCTCACTCTGAGGGGGAGGGCATCTTAGCCCTCCTTACCTCAGAACAGAAGGCACCTTCATGGCAAATCCAACCTTGGTTTGGCATGGTGTCTTAACCAAGCCAGTATTGTTCTGTATTTTGTATTGATATTTTTCTCAATAAAATCAAACTATAAATTTTAAAGAAACCACCCAAGCCAGTAGACCGGCTGTCATCCAATCACTGTGTGGATGAGTGGCATTTGGAGCCCCCACCTCACCCTAATCCAGCATTCTGTCCACTGAGCCCCACTGACTCTTGCCAAGAAGATTTCAGGCTGCTTTGAGGTGTCTTTCCTGTTTGATTGCAATCTTGCTACGTGCCCACATTTCACCCTAAGGGAGTCAAGTACATGGTTCTCCCATTCCCCCTTTTATCTTTCCAGCGACGCTGTAAGGTGGGCTAGACTGAGAGGGAACGTTCACTGGCCCGAGGACACCCCAGTGAGCTTTGATCCAACACTACTGAGTACACCACACTTTTTTCTCTTTTGCTGCTCTTCTGGCCGTGGAAGGCAGTGAAACAAGAACACCACATGACTGTTTACTGCGCATCTAAGAGCCCTTCCTGGCTACACTGCTGCTCTCATGCACAGACTCTAGTTCCAGACAAGAGAGCAAGTAGAGCGGTCACGTGGTGCTCTGTCTCTGGATGAGTACCTCTCCCTGTGAGCAAGCCCTACTTGTATGCAACTGTCAGATCTTGTTAGTGGCATCCAGGTAGGAAACATGGTAAAGGGTTCGCTGGGCGCAAGAGGGTTGTAGGTTTCTGCTCCCATGCTGCTTGTCGCTAACCTGTGCCTCCTCAGCCAGCCCAGGGAATGTCTGGGGTGATTCAGACATGATGAACTCTTCTCTCTCTGTCCCTCCTTCAGAGCACTTGTGCTCAGGGTCCCCTCCCCCAAATGAAACGGAGTGGTTGTAGTCTCAGGAAAAATGAAAGGGGTATGCCACTTTACACAGCAGAGAATTTACTGGTGGAACTCGCTTGCACAGAATATAATGATGGCTACTACTTTAAATGAGTTCAGACAAATTCATGGACGTGTCAGTCATTTATATGTATCCTGCTTTTTGTCTGATATTCCCAGAGCAGCTCACTAATTCTTGTAAAATGCAACAAAGTCTACCTAGCTTTCAATTAAAAGCCACAAAGACCTTTGAGAAGAGATGGGAATGGGGAAAGAAAAGAACAGATTGAAAAACAGAATTTTAAAAATACTGAACTGCAAAACAAAATCTAAATAAGCAAAACAACTAACCCTCTTTTAAAAAAATTTCGTGAGTAGTGTGTGTGTGCGCACGCGCGCGTGTGCATGCTTGGAAGTCATGGTTGACTTCTGGTGACCCTCAGTGGGGCTTGGACATCTCAGAGAGGTGGCTTCCTATTGCCCGCCTCTGTGTCCCAGCCCTGGTATTCCTTGGAGGTCTCCCTTCCATGTCCTTGCCAGGGTCGGCCCTGCTTCGCTTTCAAGATCTAACGAAATCGGGCCTGCCTGGGCATTCGGTTCTTCAGAATTTGGGGAGGGAAGAAGTAGAAGACCCTCTGAATTGGTTCAGGAGTGGGCGCGTGGTGCTGTGTCTTCACTGCCTCCCTTCCTCTCTGTCACAGGGCACTTGGCCACCATGTGGCCACCATGGCCTGGTTTGTATCCTTTCCTTTATTAACAATAAGTTCTTCCAATTGGAGGTAAAATCACAGTTTGCATATCAATAACAATTACAGAATAATTGGTCAAGGAAAACTATGTCGCTAGTGAAATCGTGAGCCCATCAAGGCCAGCTGAAACTGGAAGAAGCATGTGATGGTGTCTTTCAGGCATGACTGCTCAATGGAACCTCCATGTTCAGATGCAGTATACCACTGCATGCTAACTGGGCAGGAGCTTCAACAGTGGAAGGAAAGTGATTCCTTCATGTCTTGTTTGTGGGGTTCCCAAGGGCATTTATTTGGCCACTGTGGAATACAGGATAGATGGACTAGCTGGATTTTTTGTCTGATCCTGCAGGACTCGTCTGATGGTCCTTATGTATTGTGTTTGAGGTAGTCTGGTAGAAAAGCTCTGTCTCTCATGCTGGTTCTGTGTTGGCCAGTTAGCACATGCAAGCTGGCTCTCACGGAATGATGAACATGGAACCAGCAAGATGGTCGATATGAAACAATGGCAACAGAATCACATATTCAGACAATTTTAAAAGTCACAAAATGTGCTCCAGTCCCCCCCCCAAAGTACATAACCTTATCCAGAAAGCCAACTGAGACTTTTTTGTCCATGAACTTTTATTCAGTTTCAGCAAGCACTGATGCTTCAATTCTTTATCAGTGAATAAAAGTTCCGTCTTCTGCAAACTTGACCATTGTTATAACCCTTAAGAAAACTGAAGGAAGAACGCTGATGCACGTGTGAAAAGTCCCTGCAGTAGAGATGGGCGATTCTCTGCTCATTTGGAGATCGGTTAGCTCACCAGTATCATTCAGCAAACCATTTTTGAAAGTGAGGATGGAACTGACTTTGATGGCGGTTTCTGTGCTGGCCCCCTGATATTCTGGGTTCCACGGAGCTTTTCCCAGGATTAGAACTGGCTGGGTTGCATGAACTGCGGTTGCTTTACTTGTGTGTCTTTTGCCACGCAGCCTCTTCCTGTCCCGCGGCTCAGACGTCACTCTGAAGAATAAGGAGGGCGAGACTCCCCTGCAGTGTTCAAGTCTCAACTCTCAAGTTTGGGTAGCTCTACAAATGAACAAGACCCTCAAAGAGTCGACTCCTGAGAAACCTGTCCAGATGGAAAAGACACTGAGCAGGTGGGAGCTTGAGAGCTTTGCCCTCCTCGGTGTGCTGCAGGCAGAGGCCACTTTTCTGGCTGCATTCAGACATCACAGTAAGCCATGGCTTGATCAACCCCCAGTTGGCTTGATGTCCAAATGTAGATTGTCAAATCTGCCTGATTTTGTCAGTGGACCTCCAACTGGGACTTCAGATCAGGGCCTTTAGCTGGGTTGTTAATGCAGTTTGTACTAATTGTACTTTCTGTTAACATCTGAATTCACAGCTGCCCCTCACAACTTTCATCCTCAGTATGGGCTCTCACGTGGGGGAGGGACTGAGTACCGTTGTTGTACAAACCAGTTTCTTGTCATGTCTGAATGTAACCTGTGTCTGACAAGTTGCAGCTCTGGATAAGGAATGTCCAGTTGACGCTGAGGTGCCAGGCTGCTGTGCATAGAGGAGAATCTGCAACAGCAAATAATAAGTTAGAAATCAGAGAAAGGAAAGGGTCTAGCTAACTGCTTCAGGTTTGGAAATCCTAAGATGCAAGGCAGAATTGGCCTCCTTTGTGTTTAGGTGGCGGGCTGTTTTATACACCAGCTGTTTTGCCGGATGGAGGGCAGCGTCTTCATTTCTCTGTGTGTGTCTGTCTGTTCCTGTGGCTTAAAGTGGTTGTTTTCTCCTCCCTCCTGTGACAGAGACATCTCCCGGGGTTACGAGCGGATCCCAATTCCGTGCATCAATTCCGTGGACAGTGAGCCTTGTCCTAGCAACTACAAATACGTTTCTCAGAACTGTGTGACTTCCCCCATGAATATTGACAGAAACATCACTCATTTGCAGGTTAGCCAGACTACTTGCAGCTTCTTCTTCTTCGCTTTTTCTTTCTTCTCCTTCCCCCTTCCTGGGGAGGAAGAGGACGCTCTCTGCTCGGCACATGCAGGTGTGTGGGTGGACAAAAGTGACAGGAGGGAGCGCAGCCGAGCAGGTTGATCATTGGCTGGTGTTCCTTCCCCTTCCCCCTCCCTTCCCTCCCTGCAGCCCTTCTCTGCATTGATGTAACTGGAGCGGAATTTCCTTCCTTCACCCTATGCTCCTTGATATGAGGTGTCCTTTTGGAGGATATTTGAAAAAGGGAGACGGTGGCAGGGCCGTGGCACCTTTTCTGGTACTTGTTTTCGAGTGGATAATTGGGACGTGTCCCCTCTCTTTCTCGTGATGCTTGCTGCAGAGATCCCCTTGCCTAGAAGCCTCCCTTGGCAGTCCTACAGCAAAGGGCCTTGGATCGGAGGTCCAGTTACTTCATTGCCATCGCCCTTCTAGCCTGACTTAAGCAGCCAGATTTGGAACGCCTTGGGCCGAGAGGGCTTTTGCGGCAAAATCTCTCCCCTTTCCAGCACTGCCCCCCCCCCTTTGTGCAAAGCCTTGTACATATGATGACTCCGTAGATCAGCTGACTAAGTCACGTGAGACTTTGGTAGCTCAGGTGCCTACATGACTGCATCACTCTTGTTCTTCAGCGGCATGCGTAGGGATGACTCTGACTTGCTGCTGTTTTCTCCTTCTCAGTACTGTGTATGCATAGACAACTGCTCCTCCAGCAAATGCATGTGCGGCCAGTTGAGTATGCGCTGCTGGTACGACCGGGTGAGCACTTTCTTTCTCAGTTGTGTGGGTTCAGGAAGGGTTGGATGTGTGACCGCTACTATGACAACTTGGAGCAGGCTAAGGAAAACCCACCCTAAATAACAGGAATTTGTTAATGCTGAGAACACTCGCCTGTATTGTCTTCAGCCTGTAAAGTGAATGTGGTGTAATAGTTAAGAGTGTCAGACCAGAGCCGGGGAGGCCTGATCTGAAATCTGCCACAAAAGGCCCTGGGTAGCCTTGCCTCAGTCACTGCCTCTCAGCCTAACAGAACAGTTGTGAGGAAAAATGAGATGGGGAAAGACAAATCCAACAGTCCTGTGCCCTTTGATTAATTGTCTGGCTTGGTAGCTATCATTTTAATTGTTTTTAAACTGCTTATGTTGTGATCCACTCTGAGCCCCACAATTGTGGGGGAGAGTGGAATAAAAATGGAACAAATAACTAAATAATTAAGTACGCTGCCCTGATATCGTTGGAGGAAGTATGTTAAATAGGTATGTGCAACGGCTCAGGAAAGCACAAGTACTTTCTGAACCATCCTTTGCTCTCCTCAAGAATATAATCTAGATACTGCCTACTGGGTCATGATTAATGAATTTCAACCCCTGCCCTAACCACTTTAGTTTGAATGTAGAAAATTGCTCTGTCTCTGTCTGTCTGTCTGTCTGTCTCTGTCTGTCTGTCTGTCTGTCTGTCTCTCTCTCGTTAAATCAAAATAGGGATTCTCTGACAGCCATTACATTCCATAAGCTGTGATACGACTTCACTACATAAGCATAGGCCCATCGTTGAGACCAAGCTCCAGCATCCGTATCTGATTTGTTTCATGCATGTGAGCCCACACATATTCAGTGAATTCACCCGTCTGGTGCTTGACCTCTGTACAGGATGGTCGCCTCTTGCCTGAATTCAACATGGCCGAGCCACCTTTGATCTTTGAGTGCAACCACGCCTGCTCGTGCTGGAGGACTTGCCGGAATCGTGTTGTGCAAAATGGGCTCAGGTGAGTCTGTTGGGTGTTTATATGATGAGTGTTTGCCTGCCCATAAAACCCAAGGAGGGTTTCCAAAAACGAGGACACGAATAGTATGCCCTGGATCTCCATTAAACATGTGAAACAAAACAAATGATGCTGGAGATTTTGATTAAAGAGGAATAACCAATCAGATTATAACCTATCAAATTACTGCAATAGCAGTTGTGATACGCTACTCTCACACATTTCACTCCTCTGCCATGGGCAGCATAAGGGTTTCCATGGCTCGGTGGCAGAGTGCTGGATTTACATTCAGAAAGTCCCAGGTTCAGTCCTTGCCATCTCCAGTGGTAACAGATGCTGGGAAAGAGCTCTTCCTGTGACCTTGGAGAGTCATGGCCCATCAGAGTTAAACCAGTCTGGACTATATTTTTGGTTGGCAGTGTACATTTTTCAAATGGGGGCGGGTAGATCCTGTTAGGGTTTGGAAAAATTAAACCAATGTTGCAGGGGATTTCCAAGGTCTTAGGTTTTATAGGATTTTCCAGTTCTGGTGGAAACGTTCATATTGATCAAAGGTTCTCTTTCATCCCTGTGCTTTTTCTCCAGAGTGGTAACACCGCGTTTATTAAAGCATAAATCTGAAGCCATTCAATCAGAGACTGAGCTGATCGTTCAACTGCAATGCATTTCCTTTTTTTCCTTCTTGGTTTTCTTCTAGAACTGTCACCCAGTCAAAGAAATGCTTGTTGATTAATTGCATGAGTTGCAGTTGATTGACTAAATCTCAATCGAGTTGCATATGAGATCATGATGATTAAGCATACATCGTTTTTAGAAGATGTGTGCTGTGTCAAGTGCCGTCTTAGAAGAGGCATTCCCTCCCCCCTACTCACAGAAGGGAACTCCTTTTCTAGTACCATCTCAGAGGCATTACCCCGATTCTCATGCAGGGAGGAAAGCTTTTTCTAAGACACTGCTTGCAACCAATTATATGCTGCAGCTCTCACTCTTAGTCATCAAAATGGACATGGACGGAATGGCCTTTCTCTTGTTGTTCTCAGGCACATCCTTCCCCTTTCCATATTAGATTAGGTGTTCCAATTTGCTGATAATGAGTAGTTACACCCAAATGCTGCCTTTGGGGAGTGGAGCACACCACAGAAGTAGATTCTGAACATGCTGAAGCCATGAAGCCATAAGGCTGATCTTGTTGTGGTCTGCAAGTATTTGAAGTTTCAAGGGAGGGGGGGAAAGCAGTAGATGCAACTGGGAGGGGGACATGTGGGAGGGAACATCAGTGAGCCATTTCTTAGAAGTGACTAAATGACTTACTTGAATCTGAATTTGTATCAGAGACCGGATTCAATTGCAAGATGTTGGCTGAGAGTATCGCCAGATTCCAAGTGGGCCCTAGGAGGTGCAGCCTCTCACATAAAAATGTTCTGCTTACTTTCAGCCAGAATCCCCTCTCCACATAAACCAAACTCGTCACTTCTGTGACTGAGCAGACACTGTGTACAGGGCAGACACTAACGGGTTCTCTGTCTTTTCCTATCTTCTAGGGCTCGATTACAGCTTTATCGGACAAGGAAGATGGGTTGGGGTGTGCGATCAATGCAAGACATTCCATCGGGGACCTTCGTGTGCGAGTGAGTGCCTTGTCTTTTGAAAAGCCGGATGGCTAGCAGGAGCAGTACATGGAGAGGGACAAGAAATCTCTCAAGACTTTGCAGGGAGCCACCATTACTTAGCCTGACAGAGTGCTGAAATACACAGGCTTGGTCCATCTTCTCCCTAGAATAGGTTGTTTGCTGTCATATGTGAGCAATCGAGGCTTTGGCAGGATCAGAGCCAAGAGGAAACAGATTGTGGGCTCTGGGGCATCATTGCCTGTGCTGTTTGTGGTCTTAAATGTTGTGCAGAGGTTTGGCTCCTTGGCAGAACACACACTTAGCATCCAGAAGGTCCCACGTTCAGTCTCCAGCATCTCGAGTGGGGAAAAAAAATCTTAGACAGAAGGTGTTGGAAAAGAGTTCCAGGCAGACCAGATGGTGCTGAACCAGATGACTTGATCCCCTAACACTGGCTGAAGTGTAAGCCAGTTTCATAGGGCACCACTGCCATTCTGGTCCTAGGCAAACCCGTGATAGGTGCCATCCTGCTTATTAGCTACCCTGTGATAATGCTAAACATCCATTCAGAGGAAGAAGAGTTTGGATTTATACCCCACCCTTCACTCGAAGTCTCAGAATGGCTTACAGTCTTCCTGTCCTCTCCCCCCACCAGACACCCTGTGAAGTAGGTGGGGCTGAGAGAGCTCTGAGAGAACTGCTCTTGAGAAAACAGATCTGAGAGAACTGTGGCTTGCCCAAGGTCACCCAGCAGCTGAGTGTGGAGGAGTGGGGAATCAAACCCGGTTCTCCCAGATTAAAATCCGGGCTCCTAACGGCTACACCAAAACGACTGCAAGAACAAGCATGGCACCATCTATCTGCTCTGCTCTTCTCCTGGCTAGACTCCTGTGAGGTTGGAGTGAGCAGCTGGAGTCACGCCACAATGGCAGGGAGAGGGAAGGATGCAGAGGGTTGCGATGGCAGAAGTCTTTGCAAGGGCTGCTTGAAAGCCCAGGAAATCTGTTGTGGGGTTGGGTTCATAAAACTCCTTGAGGAGTGATGACAAAAAGAGGTTGTGGTGGGGGGGAATAAGAGTACACCTCCATCCTTGTGGCTAAATAAAAGCTGCAGTAGCTCAGAGCTGGTAAGAAATGGCATGAAAGTACTCTTGCTGAGTTTTTTGATGGCCCCATCGGCCTCCGTTGAAAACCAAACCTGCTCCCAAGATTCTCAGGGACAGTCCATTCAGAGGGAACCTCCAGAGTTTTTCACCAGTGGAGCACAGAGGTGTCAGAAGCCAGGATTTCTCATTTGGGAGTGCCAGAGTAGCTTCTTGGTCCCAGTGCCCTGGAGTGTTTTGGGTGGCAGCTGCATGCGTGCTCTCCAGGGCAGCCCTAGGCGGTTGCGACCTCAGCAGCAGCTGGCAGGCTGTGACGCCTCCTCTGCAGCCCAGGTGGATTGTACTGTTTCTGCAGCCCTACAGAACTGCGCCGTGTGACGCAAAGTCAGAGGATCAGCTCTGGAGACGGCACACCGTGGACGCAGCCTAGCCTGTATCCTCTCAGCAGGCACCCGATGAGCAATTTGGGGTCAATTTCTGTGCTGTTAATTAGTCTGGAGTAATTACTTCCCCTTGTTTCCATATTCACAATAATTGGCATTGAGTAGAAGCCTCATTTCACCCATTAATGAGAGATGGGGAAGATTAGCCCTTTAACCACTCCCGTAGCGAATCCGGAATAGCGCTCACAGGGGATGCCGGGAGGCAGCAAATCCACGTTCAGCAGTGTTGAGTCGGTGCCACCGGGTCCTTGAAAGCTTCACTGCAAATGGCAGAGCTGGAGCCTGTGGAGTCCACAGATGGCCCTCTGCCCTGGCAGTTGCCAGCTGTGCCGCAGGGTCCACTGGAAAGACGTTAAGCAGCTTCATTGAGGATTGTGCAAAAAGGGTTAATTACAGTTTCCAGTATTGTAAAGAGGGTTGCACATTTTGTAGAAGAAGACTCTCTCTCTCCCTCCCTCCCCCTCTCCCTCTCCCTCTCCCTCTCTCTCAGAATCAGGCAAGAACCAGCAGCAGTTAGTACTTTACACTGTCCTTCTAAGCAGAATCACACCCTTCTAAGTCCATTGTTTTGTTTGCACTGGGTTTAGAAAGGTGGAACTCTGTTTAGGATTGCACTATTAATGCTGCCTGCCTATCGATTGATCTATCAATATATTGATTTCTGCCAAATATAAATTTATGTGTAGATTACTTTTTGATATAGCTGCTTTCAAGGTTCAATTAAAAACAAAATGGTTCACAGCTAAACTGATCCAGGTCTAGATCTGTTTTAAAAATCTATTTATTTATTCAATTTATGCCCCGCCCTCCCCACTGAGGCAGGCTCAGGGCGGCTTACATGCGAAGTACATACATAAATAACAGTTGAATTCATCATAGAATCATCTAAAAACAGTTCATTATAAAACAATTCAATACTATAAAGTGCTAGCAGTGTCTGTTTTAATGCAATTGCTTGACGATGGCGGTGCGATATGAATACATTCAATGATCTATCTAGATATTCAGTTCATTGATCTTTCCCTGATACAATCGGCAGGCAGAGGCTGTGGATGGCCAAACCGAGGGCCAGGGCTCTATACGATTCACCAGCCCACAAAATCAATAATGGAAGGAGTTGCTAACCTAAAAATAGCAACAGCAGGTCACACAAAGCAAGGTGTCAGAATATGCAAGTCAAAACAGAAAGGAAGCTTGCTTATTCTGATGGTGACGGCACAGTTTAAGGATTCGCTCCCCTCTAGAAAGAGAGAAGAGAGACTGTGCCTGCCAAATCTCCAATGGGAAGGATATTTAAAGAACCGAGGCCGTCACAGAGAAAGCCCTGCTTTTTTAATTGAGGACAGCTTTAGTATCCATTGATGATACCTAGAGCAGGGCGTCATTCTCACATTCTAGCATACTTCAGGGTTTTGTGATCGAACCCCCTGCAACAGTGAATGCCCAGTTAACCTTACCTGCAGATGAGAAGGATATGGTGCAAGGATGTCAAGGCTAAAAATCTCTGTGAGGAGGCTTATGGCTGGTTTTGTACTTGGCACTGAAGGCTCATCTGCCCTTTCACAAATCCCATTGTTTGGTGGCTCCATTCTAAGCAAGTAACCCACCTTTGCTGAAAAGGATAGTCTTTGACGTGGTATCACATGATATGAAAACTCTGGGGTGCTGATCTGCTTCACATGTGCCTGTCACATTGCAGTTGTTGAGTGATGAACATGCGTGTCACACCCTGGTTTGTGCAGTCTCCGTAGGTTTGTGTGTATTCACACATGCCCTGGCTTGCTTAACCCCTCGTGTGTCTACAGCAAAGCAAAGCCCCATTGGCTCAGTTGCAAGCTCAGAGTGAATTGGCTGTTTGCTGCAAATGATGCTAACAGTCTGTGGGCTCTGATTCTGTTGGTTTGATGTAAACAAAGAGATAAAGTTGTGGAGGGGCTGTTGTTCAGTTGGAAAGCTTATTCTTTACATGCCGAAGGTGCCAGATTGAAACCCCAGTATCTCCAGTTTAAGAGGATATCGGGCCTTGTATGAGCTGCTACAGGTCAAGCAGTACTGATCAAGATAGATCAGTGGTCTGGATCAGTATAAGGAAGGGGGAGAAAAGGGATGGGACTCCTCCCCCACAGGTGTCTGGCCTGTTGGTTGCTGATGTGATCAGCCAAAAGAAGTCTGCATATTCCCATTGGTTTGGGGGGCTTTCTAGAGGCATCTAACTGGCCACTGACTACTGAACTATGTGGACCTTTTGTCAGATCCCATGGGGCTTTTAAGTTTTTCAGTCCCCTTCTCAATTGTTCTGCAGGTATGTTGGAGAACTGATTTCTGATGCAGAGGCAGATGTACGTGAAGAGGACTCCTATCTTTTTGACCTTGACAACAAGGTAGCGTATTGGGGGGGGGAGTTAAAGGGGGGGGAGTGAGGGTTGTGAGAGGCTCCCAGGACAAATGCAAGTGTTAAAATGAATTCTCTCTCCCGTTTCACTGGACAGAGCAATCTGCACATTGGTGTGACGGGAAGCTCTTTGCGCCTTTTGAAAAAGTGCAATCCCGTTAGAGCATAGAATGTGGGCCGAGAAGCTCAAGGGACTTGATAACGGGGAGGGGAGGCAAGGGGTGGAGGTGGATTTATTTATTTTTTATTGTGTCACTGGTTCAGAAATTGCCTGGGTTGATCATTGCTGAGTATAGCCCTTAGCCACAGTTAACAAGAGAACAAAATTAGCCATTAGTCTTGTTAATGATACACAGATGACCCTGCAGCCATCCCCCCCCCCGTCCCCACGCCTTTACAGGTATTCCTTATTGCCAAGCTTGATTTTGTGGCTCAGCTACCATCTTGGTACTAAAGGTGATCCCTGCCTTTGCATTTACAATAGATGCTACGTGACGCATACACACCTAGTCCCCTCCCCTCCAGGTGTTTCGTGCCCTGCTAAGAATTCTAGACAAGTAAGGGAGGTTTCCATGACTTCTGGATGGGTGGCCCTGTTTTGCTGGAGGGCGAGAGTTCAGGGAGTATTCCCCCCCCCCCAATCCTCTAATAAAAAGGGAGTTTTCATCAGAGAGAGGAAGAGAACATACTCTCTAGCTGTGAGCCCAGCTTCTTCCCTGTTTTGACACTGGCACAGGAGAGGCAGACCTCTCAGGTTCAACGCAGTCCAGGGGAAATGTTAGATTGTTGCCTCCAGTAGAGGGGTATGTGCGCACATGTGCTTGAGATTTTCCCCCTGTGTGGATTAGCGAGCGATAGACCACTGCTTCTTCCCATGCAGGAGAGAGTATACACCAGCTTTTGCGCATTGCCTGAACTTCTTCAAACTGCTCTTCCTGACTTCAAGGGCTAGAAACCTGTATGTGCTTGTGTGGCATCATGAGATATACAGTCCCTGAGGTTAGACGGGCTGTGCATTTCACGGCAGCGCAGGTGGCTGTTTGGTGCAGGAGATATTTCAGTCGCTGATCCGGAAAAGAAGGATGATCTGTAGTTTGGAATGCAAGGCAAAGCTTTTCAAGCCTGTTGAGCATGTAGATGCAAACCAAGGAGGAGAGGAAAGGCTGTGGGCTGCAGCCCTGTGAGATGCTGATAGAGGGATCCCGGAGAACCATCTCACCCCCAAAGGGCTCCACGTGCTCTTTGAAGGGGTCTCTCTTCGATGAGTGTCTATAATTAAGGACTGCTCCTTGCTGTTTTCTGCCACAATAATTTTAAGAAATGCCTTGAGAGACTCTGGCATTGCAAGGAAAGCCCAAAGTTGCTGTTGCTGCTGTTGGAGTGTTCTGCCTCCCCTTGGCACTGGAATCTTATGGTCCCAGATACTCTGCTGTCACTGGTTTGCCGTTCTTGCGCTGTCTGGTTCAGTTTAAGAAGAAGCTAGACTCAATCCTTCTTCCAAACAAAAGGCACAGGAAGGCCGTCGTTCTGTATGCGTAGAGCATCCCTGCTTTTGCTCCCAGGGACCTTTTTGTCTGACTCCAGGGGCAAAAGCTGCGCGAGGAAGTGGCACCTTCCTAAATCCCTGACCGTAACCCCCAGATCATTGTCGTCATGATTCCCCATCTCCCTAGAGTCCTTGTGCATGTAAACTGTGACACTGCCTTGTGACGACTGGCACGACTTAAGAGGCACTGCCCGAATCCAGAACTTTAAGCCTGTCTTAATCGGATGCTCTCTCCACCGTTTCCCAGGATGGAGAGGTGTACTGCATAGATGCCCGCTTCTATGGCAACATCAGCCGCTTCATAAACCATCTCTGTGAGCCAAACCTCATCCCCGTGCGAGTGTTCATGTCCCACCAGGACCTGCGTTTTCCCAGAATCGCCTTCTTCAGCAGCAGACCCATCCAAGCAGGAGAAGAGATTGGGTATGTCCTGGCTTGAAAAAGCAGGAGGGTGTGGCATGGGGAAAGGGGGTCTCTTTGGTGGCTTCTTGGGTTGTCCTGGAGCCGCTCTCACTGGACACACCTCACTAAGCAGCAATGCAAACTGTCCTTTTTCCTCGTGAAGTAGGGAGAGGCTGTTGAAACATGGCTTGTTCGCCCAGAAGCTTTGAGTCAAATGGTCTGGTATAAATCTAAATAACTGCCTGTGCAAAAACGGCCTGTGAGAGCTGTGCGGCGTGGCCCACGGTGCTGATGCAAGACAGCAGAAGCCACTGCCATTCCGGTTCTCTGTTGGTTATGCTCACAGACCCGGCAGCGGCATTCTTCTGCACGGACCTTTCGCTGTCATGTTGCTCATGCCGGCAGAAAGCTGCGTGCAGGGTTATTTGCGCAAGCCAAGAGGGAAAGATAAAATCTGGATTAGCTCTCGAGAGTAACATAATACGTGAAATGAACAAAAAAAACCCCTTTGCTTTAGACTGAGTCAGGTCCTTCATAATGACCCAGCTAGTTCACCCTCCTGCCCGACACGTAGCTGTGCCACCCCATTAGCTTCAGCAGTCTTGCTGTGCTCCTCTCCTGGGGGAGGCCAGATTAAAGAAAAGGAAAGGAAACTCAAATGAAACACACTCCTTGGAGCTGTTTTGCCCGTTTCCCAACCCGCTCCGCACCCTTGTCCCTGCCACCACTTTGCAAGGCATTGGAGCTCGTTACATGAAAAGGCCTCTTGGTTCCACCATCTCGAGGTCTGAAACCTCTACTTTCGATTTGCCAGCCATGCTACTGGCCCAGAGCTTATTCCTTGAAAGGCTGTGGTGGCAGCTGCCTCTCACAGTTTTTAGGAAAAGGTACCCCTGTATGAACTGTCCCTTTGAGCTCTGGGCTTCTGTAGTGGACAAAGAGGGAGTTGCCCGGGGGGGGGGGATAATAGAGGAGCTGTTTGGAGTCCTCAGCTGTGTTTCTAGGCTCAGGCTGTGTTTCAGGGAAGGCTCTGCCCAATACTCCTTCTAAGCTGTGGAGTCTTGTGAGCAAAAATTCTACTTTGTGAGCTGCTGGCATTAAAGTTGTGAGCAAGCGATTTGGCTACTGCATTAATTAGTTTGCTCTGGAGCCCCATCCTTCCTGAGCTAAGACAAAAATGTGTGAGCTGGAGGCTAAAAAACTGTTGAGCCAGTTACCCTTGGCCAGTTACCCTTGGCCTTTGCAACCACCAAGCTAGTTAGAGCACAGTGACCATGTCTAGTGATGGAAAGAATCCCTGAAAACCCTCCAGGAGCCCAAGGTCTGTCAAGCTCCTGGCCGGCCTCAGTACCTGTTCAATGGCCTGTGCCTGGTTTGGCAAGTCACAAGTGACAAGATAAAGCAGCAGCAGCTCCTGTGGCTGAGGTGTCTCAGTGGAAGCGAGCCAGCTGGCAATCAGAGGACACGAGCACAAGTCAGCGCTGCGAGATTCTTTGCCGGGTGACGATTTCAAGCCGTGTGAGAGTTGCCCAGGTGAGCAAAATGGGCTGCTTCCAGGACTCTCCATGGTGTGTTACCCGGATACCTTACATTTATGAGTGGGCAAAATATGTTCCGTTCACTGAGTACACTTTCCCCCCTTCCGTTTGCTCGGGGATCTCTTAGGCTCATAATATCCCTGAGGTGAGGCAGAGCAGAGTATGTGACTGGCCCAAGATCGCCTCAGGAAGCTCGTGTGGATGAGCTGGCATCTCCCTAGTCCAGCATTGCAACTGTTACACCACAGTAGGCTGTCATGAAGTCTCTTGTCCGTCTCACACCTCTGGGAGTCCCTGAATCCAGAATGAGCTTGGAAATGTAGGACTCTCTGATGAGATAAAGGGAACGGAGGAGGAAGCGGCAGCTCCCGTCCAGCTGTCGCTCCTGCAAAGAAACGTAAACACGCCGCGTGAACCTGTCCATGTCTACTCAGAAGTAACCCACATAGAGTTCTGTAGGGCTTACTCTCAAGTAAGGAGGTGTAGGATGGCTGCTTTCAATAGACAGCAGATAGAAGAGGGCTAGGGTGGGACACAACCCCATCACTATGTCTTTGTGACCCTCATTCTTCACTCTCCCCCTCTCTTCTGGTCACGAACTGGTCTTAGGGAGAGATCGTGGCTCAGTTATGCATCATCTGATTGGCCTACCCAAGGCCCCAGCAGTCTCCCGGTGAAGGGTCTCAGGTAGCAGGGGTTGAGAAGGACCTTTCTTTGCCCGGGACCCACTGCCAGTGGAGCAGGAGATAAGAATGACCCGACTATATTAAGAGACAAGGGTGTCGCTCGGTAGAGAGAGCCCTTGCTTGCATGCTGAAAATCCCACATGCGGTGCAGTGAAAGGATATCCTCCGTGCCCTGCGGGACTTAATGCAGTTCTGCAGGTCATGTAAGGCGGAGATGTTCCACCAGGCGTTTGGTTGAAGACAGCGACGGCTTTTCCACCTGCCTGACACTCCTGTTTCCTTCCCTGCCTCCCCACACGAGGCAGTGGCACACCTCTGGCAGTCTTATCTCCATCAGTCAGTTAGACGCTTATTGCCGTTTTAAGTGTAAATTATGAATTTTTCTTTTAATTGTGTACTGTGTACATGGTTTTTATTGACGTACACCACCCTGAGCCCTATTCTTTAGGGGGAGGGTGGTTTAAAAATCCAATGTAATAAATAAATTTAATAAAATCAGAAAGCCGGTGCTGGGAAGGGCCTTTCTCTGTCCGAGACCTTGGGGAGCTGCTGCCAGTCACAGTGGAGAACGATGACCCAGGATGGCTGGATTTGCTATAAGGCACCTTCACGTGCCCATTTGACCTCTTCCACTATAGCGTTCCTGCCGTTGAGCAGAGCATTGTGTGCAGCTGTGGTGCCTCCCCTTATCTTGGTCTCTCTTTTTTTTCTTTTAGATTTGACTATGGTGAGAGGTTCTGGGACATCAAGGGCAAGTATTTCAGTTGTCAGTGCGGTTCCCCCAAATGCAAGCACTCCAGCGCCGCCCTGGCTCACCGGCAAGCAAGCATGTCGTCGTCGTCCCAGGAGGCACCAGAGAACGGACTCCCCGACACCAGCTCCGCCGCTGCCGTGGCGCCCGCCCCGTTTTGAGAACCTCTTTGAGCTTTTCCAAAACCCACAGATTGTATGAATTTCTCCCAACAGGAATGGGTAACATGGGAAAAGGAAGCTTACAAGCTTGTGACACTCTGGATTCTGGCGCTGCCGTGATTGTTCACTGAGGAATGAATGACAGCCTCGTGCTTTCGCCCCGGCCCAACATGCCCACGAGGTGCCAGGAAGCGGCTGGCTTGACAGCGTGCGTCCCGGGGCGGCTGCTCCCGGTTGTTCCACGCTGAGTGACCCACGCGGCCTCTTTTAATGTGACGCGTGTTCTCCGAGCCAAGAGAGAGTCTTCCCCTCCCACACACACACACACCCCTGTCTCCCTCTTGGAAGGATGAAAATTGAATGGACTGTTCATGCCAAGTATCTCCAGTTTGCTTGTAATAAACTCTGCATACTCGATGAAAATCTTTCTCAAAGCCAAGGCCTGCTCTTTCGGCACAGCTCTGGGAGGCTTTGCTAGCAGCCGAACTTTACTTTCTTTTCCCTTGCTCATTGTCCTGGGATTGAAATCGTATCCTCTCTTGAACAGGTGCCTGCCAGTGACCTAATCCAGTGCATTAGATGTTTGCACTCTCCTCTCCCGCATCCACCTTTGATTTCTCCAGGCCTGGCAGAAGTTTCTCACGAGTCCTACCAGGGCTTCTCCGTTACAGACTGGCTCTTGGGGCATGTTGCTTTTCTCAGTGTTCCCCACCACCACCAGTGGGCGTATTTCCCTCTTCCATTATGCTAAGAAGCATAAGGGGAAATCCTTTACATGACACTAACTTCTTTTTTAAATTAAAAAAAAACATCAAAAGGAAACTGGCATTTAAAGTGTCCCTGTTCAGGGCATTTCTCAAGCGGGTGCTCAAACTGGGCCCTCCAAGGACATGGCGCTGTGAGAAGACGACCCGTGCCATCCCCTCTTTCCGACCCCAGCCCTCCCCTCCATGTTCATTTTAAAGCTACACATAATGACGTTGGAATGAATGGATTTATTTTTTACCATTTGAGGACTGAACATAAAAATCCAAAACAAAAACCCACCACTGTCCCTCACCTGAGTAACTAAAAAACGGTGCTGATTCTAGTGCGATTTTTACTCACTAAGTGAATATAAATTTATCAATTGTATAAAGAAAAAAAGAACAAAGTGATTTTAGTATAAAATCCAGGAAAAAACGACCCACAAACCTTTTTTTAAATTGTTAGTATTGTAGTGTGAATAAATTTGTCATCGCCTTTTGTGTGGTGGCAAAGCAGGTCATTTTAATTTTTTTCATATATCTTAAATACTGTAATTAGTGCAGTAACAAGTTTTTGTTTTCCTTTGTGCATCTCTTCTAAACCGTTCATATTGCTGGGGGGGGGGATTTTTTGTTTTGTTTTTTTCCCCTTTCTGTTCATGTTTTTGACCGTTTTAAAGGCGCCTTCTTTTGGCTCCCATCATTTCCTTGTTCTGTTTTCATGAGATCAATAAAAAGTGCTTTAAAAAAAGTGGATTTCTTTTCGTAACCTTTCCTGTGGCTCCTGTAGGACAGAAGGTAGTGAAAGTTAAATGTGAGTATAGGAAGCAGCCTTCTACCAAGTTGGATTTCTTGTTCATTAAAATTCTTATGGTCTATTCCGGCTGGCAGCAGCACACAAACAGGGAAAGGTATTTTTCTATCTCCTGCTACCTGAAATTCTTTAAACAGACTTGCTGGCACTGAACTCAGGACCTTCTTCATGCACAGCATGCGGTCTGCTATTAAACTTTGTCCCTTCCCTGGAAGATTGCTTTTGGTCGGAAGTGGGGTTTGAACCCATGCCTCCTTGTGACTTGAACACGGCATCTTGTACCAAAGAAGGGAATCTTCTCTCCCTCCCCCCCCCGGTACCAGTTTCATGCTAGCTAATTATTTTAGAAGTACAGGAGAGTAAAAAGTTCTGGATCCCTGGGGCAAAGTGGGAACATGAAGTGTGTCTAGCTAGACAATTAAGCAACCAGCTGAGAGTGCTCAGGGAAGGGGGGACAGGATGGAATGCCTTCAAAGCCTTATTGAGGACTGAGTGGGGGAGGACTGGGAGAGCCCACCCCACTGGGGTTCTCTGTGTTGGGGGGGGGGGACAGCAGGAGCTCCAGCATGCATGTATTTTATGTCATGTAAGCCACCTTGGGCATCCTGGGTAGAATTCAAAAAACCAATAATGAGGGAGTTATTAGCAGGTGTGAGGAGAGAGGTCTGCATACTGTTAAACTGGCACAGGACCCTCTTCCTCCTTTGCACTCAGTAAAGCTAACTCACAATCACGGTTTGCCACATTTACAGCTTGATCCAATGGTAAAGCTTCCCTATGCCTATTGCGATCAATAACACATAATTAATGTGCAGACTTCACTCCTACAGGATGTAATGACACCCGGTAGCTTTTGAAAGCCAATGTGGTGTAGCAATTTACACTTTTTGGGAGTAAGCCCCATTGAATAGACTTTTTTCTCTTCATTATTATGCTCCTCTGACTGAAAATCTGGAGCAAAGTCAATACAGATGTGAAATAAAATACAGAGCAGTAAACATTAAAATACAGCATGGTAAATTAAAACCCATCTCTGTAACGGCTTAAAGAAACCACAAGTGCTAAGAATTTGGCAACAGCATGCTTTATTTCTGGATTGGTGTCTGCCAGCAAATAGAGATCACAAGTGGGGACCAGCAACAAACTATTGTGTATTATTAATGTCTTTCTCCGGTGGTCCAGGAGTGGGGCAGTCCTTGACTCCTTACTCCTGGGAAAGCACCTCCCCCTTCCATAGGCAGGGCCGGCAAACTTTGATCCCAGAGGGGAGGGGCTTATCCTCTGATCCCCAGTCTTACCGGCCCTGCCTTCTGAGCAGGATGTGCTGGCTGTGCTCTGAAGAGCACGAAGATCCCAGAAGACACTGGAAGGTCAGAAGAAGAAGCGGAGACCTAAAGGGCAATGGTAGAAAGTATTTACTTTCCAGCCCTAAAATATATTCGAGAGCTGCAGGCCTCGATTTACAATGAATCCGGCGCTGGCAGTCCTGGGAGGCCCCCAGGCGGTCACAGCGTCGAGAGGAACGCCTCGGACCCCGCTGGGAAGGCGGCGGTAAACTGCTCTCCCCCCCCCCATCCAGCCGCGGCGGCGTGCAGCGGTTTTGGGGACAGACGCTCAGTGAAGAGCCTGGGGAGAGCAGAGGCAAGAGAGGCGGCCGAGGGTGGTGCAGAATCTCTGAGAGGCGGCCGAGGGTGGTGCAGAATCTCTGTCA